GCTAATCTAGGACTTCTTGGAACTGTCCGAGATCATGTGCACGAGGAAACAACAAAAATCAGAGATGGAAAATTGCTCGAGTGGTGTGCCAAGCTAAATCAGCATACGTCCTTGGACGACATCTGGAGGCAGATCAACAGGGCCAAAGGAAAATCGCCTCCTGCTCCGCCACACCATGTTCATCCAGAGCAAGAAACAGAAAGGTTAGCAAATCTATTTGCTTCAAGAGCCAGTTCCACTCAACTTCCTCAAGCAACTCTGACTCACCAACAAAGACTTCAAGCAGCAAGATGGACAAAAATAGATGATGCTTTAGCCTTACCTGACGAACTAGACCAACCTTTCAATCTGAAAGAACTCAGAAGAGCTACAAAGAAAACTAAAAACATAGCTCCAGGCGAGGACAAAATCACATAAAATATGCTGGCCAAGCCAGGAGAAAAGGGTGAAGAAGCCTTCTTGCATCTCATCAACAGAGTATGGGTGACGAGAACTCGACCACTCTCTTGGAACAGTGTAATTATAGTTCCCATTCCAAAACCTAAAGACCTAGGAAATCCAAGACCCATCTCATTAACAAGCTGTCTGGCCAAAACTGCGCAAAAAAATGGCCCTTAATCAAATTGAATGGAAAGCCAATCCACTACACCAAAATATGTTTGTTTACAGAAAAGGTGTTGGAACCACAAAATGTCTTACCTCCCTCCTGGATCAAATGAATGACAAACCTGGAATTCTTAATTTTCTAGACCTAGAAAAAGCCTTTGAGTTGGCCAGTGCTCCAGCTACACTGTGCTGCCTTGTGGATAAAGAAATCAAAGGATACGCTCTTGCCTTTGCCCAAGGAATCCTGCTTAACCGAGAAGCTACAGTCAAATTCCAAGGAAAAACATCGTCCTCAAAGAGGCTGGAAAATGGAACTCCGCAGGGAGGAATACTAAGCCCTTTCCTCTTTAACTGTCTCATGTAACAATTCATGAAGCTCAGGTTACCAAAAGCCAAACTACTTAACTATGCAGACGACTTTGTGGTCATCATCAATGGCAAAGGTGCAAGGAACCATGCACAAAAAGGCCGAGATATTATCAGCAGGGAAGAGGAACGCATAGCTGTGAAAATAAACAGCAATAAAACCAAAGCAATGGCCGTTAAAATGATAACTCAAGACATCAGACTCGTTATACAAGGACACGAAATTGAGTGGGTTACCCCTTTTCAATACCTAGGAGTCATAATAGACAGCTAGTTGAGATTCACTCTTGAAATTGAATATCTTCGGCAACGTTGTAAAGCCAGAAACTTAGCTTTGCGCTCTCTGACAAGTCTTAGAGATGGTGCGTCTCTACCAGTACTCAAAATATACTACATTCAAGCAGTTAGATCACTCATTGACTATGCTGCTCCTGCTATTACATCCCTCAGTGATAACCAATGGGAGAAACTGGAAGTATCTCAAAATGATGCCCTCAGAACAATGCTGGGAACACCTATATGGACGCGTCGAGAGAATCTAAGAATGGAAACCAACTTACCAGTCTTAGAAAACAGGATCAAACACAGGATAGCCACCATAACAGTAAAAGTTGTTGGAACCACTGCCAGACTGTCAATCAAAGATAACATACAAAGATCGCTCCAGAGGAACCTTCAATATAGAACAAGTGAATGGACGGATAATCTAGTGAAGATTCTAGAGAAAGTGGACTTGAAATGGACAATTAAAAACAAAAAAGAAGATAGACCATATCAACACTTTCGGCAGCCTCCGCCTTCGGAAGAATCGAGTCTAAAGATTATCATTGAAGGATTACCAGTTAAAAAATCAGCATGTGACTCGCAGAGGCTCAAAGCAGTCATAGAACGACAAATTGAAACCATCTTAAAACCGACAACGACTCACATCTTCACAGATGGATCAGTTGATCAAGAAAGAGGTTCTGCTGGGGCAGCAGTTTACACTAACAACCATGAAGCTTACTGGAGCATGAAAAGTGGGTGCTCAACATTGCAGACAGAATCACATGCCCTGAAGGTGGCCATAAGCTATACAATTGAGAATAATTTACATGATGTCATCATTCATACCGACTCTAAATCTTCGTTCCAGGCATTGTTATCCAGTCAACACAGAGATAATATACAACTCCTCACAGAAATCCAACATATAGGAAAAGAAGCCCATAATCTAGGGCTATCAATCACCCTAAATTGGATACCAAGCCATACGCATAGATGGTAATGAAAAACCAGACTCACTAGCAAAAGCTGCCACTGCTCTACCTGTTGTACAGTTTCAAATCCTTCCAAGTTTTTCACAAATTGAGGCGTAAATCAAGAAGAAAATACTCCTAACTATCAAAGGTCGCCACAGAGCCAAAGTAGCGGAAGGAAGATTCACTGCGATGTGGTACGAACAAACCACTGGTTACTCCTCTTTCAAGCCTGGCAAAAAGATATCCAGAGACATTCCAGTAGCCATACACATACTCAGACTTGGTTACAAGTGCTGCTGAGAGGTAATAAACCCAATAGTTAAAGAATGTCATACCTGGAACAGATGCAGTGGCGCCACTTTTACTCTACTTACTGGAGTGTGAAGCAACTGAAGCCCTGTGCATCAAACTCAGCATTCATCAAACAACAGAAGCTGCATTTGAATCAAAATCCATAGTGATTACAATGGTTAGAAAAGCAGTTGAAGAACGGAACACACTAGTGAACACTGTACAGCTATATCCACTGCTAAGATAATGTTATTAAAACAAGACTAAAATCAGTGCGCTAAAAGAGAAGCGGAAAAGAAATGAAAGAAAAGGAGGAAACCAAACCTCCATTTAAAACTTTGACCCAATTATCACAGTAACAAGGTTATCGCAAATATCCGAACTCGGTTACAGTCTCACTACAGCCTGTGCTACATGGACATTTTGTTCTGAATAGCTAAATAAAAACCAACAACAACTGTCCCATCACTTGAGAAGGAACCATGTAGGTCTGAAACGTGTAAATTTATAGTAAGTGTAATACATTTTAAAGTTAATAACTTTTTTTAGTTTACCTTGAACAAAGATGACATTAGGAGAAATCCTATTCCTATACAGAGTGTGGCCTAGTGGTTAAAGTACTGGACACGTCAAGGTGCATGGAGCCCCTCGTCTTCCTAACCATTCCCCACTCCACCATCCCCTCGTCCTCTCCATCTCCCACTCCCCCGTCCCCTCGTCCTTCCTACCATCCCCCACTTCCCTGTCCCCTTGCCCCACCCCCTCCCACCAATATCCATTCCCCTGTCCCCTCGTCCCCACCATCCCCAACTTTCCCATCCCCTCGTCCTCCCCAACATTACTCCCTTCCCTGTCCCCTCGTCCTCCCCACCATTCCCCACTTCCTCGTCCAATGCATTCCCAAATGATCTGATGTTCCCATCAGAAAATTAGGAACATCTAATAATCTGATGTTCCCATCACTGAAATATAAGTGCAAGGAAACCTGTGTAAGGAACCATTCATATCTTTGTATTCCACATATGTGGGACCAATCCTGGAGTATGCGGCTCAGCATGGAGTCCATACCTTGTCAAGTATAAGAATAAGATAGGGAAGGTTCAAAAGGTATGCCACCAGACTAGATCCAGAACAAAGAGGAATGAATTACGAGGAAAAGACTTTGTGAATTGTACCTCACGTCGCTGGAAGGGTGAAGATTTCAGGGAGACATGATAACATACAAAATTCTCAGGGAAATTGAATGGGAAGTTAGACAGATTATTTAGAACGGGTGGTACACGCACAAGGGAACACAGGTGAAAGGTGTTCTTGTTCTTGTCTGTTCCAACAGTCTCCGTGGTGTAGTGGTAAGACACTTGCCTGGCGTTCCGCGAGCGCTTTGTCATGGGTTCGTATCCTGGCCGGGGAGGATTTACTGGGCGCAAATCCTTAACTGTAGCCTCTGTTTAACTCAACAGAAAAATGTGTACTTAGTTGTAACAACGATTCTTCGCGGCGGGGATCGTATTCCAGGGACCTGCCCGAGACGCTACGCGTACTAGTGGCTGTACAAGAATGTAACAACTCTTGTATATATCTCAAAAAAAAAGGTGAGTAACAAAGTAAGCCACAGAGACATTAGAAAGAACTTTCGAACTGTCAGAGAAGTTCATAATTCGAATGCATTAGGCAGTGATGTGGCGGAGGCAGACTCCATGCACAGTTTCAAATGTAGATATGATAGAGCTCAGGAACCTGTACACCAGTAGACGGACAATTGAGAGGCGGGACCACAGAGCGGAAGTTCATCTCCGGCAAACACAACTAGGTGAGTACAGCTAGGTCAGATACATATTCTCATAGATACACAGACCATGCACAGAATATATACACAGGCATACAGATACACAGGCATACAGATACATGGATCCACAGATACACAGACCCAGAGATGGTCCACAATGGTCCAACAAATGGATACTCGAACAAGTGCAAAGTGATGAAGATAGGCTATCTTGAGATGATTTCGGGGCTTTAGTGTCCCCGCGGCCCGGTCCTCGACCAGACCTCCACCCCTAGGAAGCAGCCTGTGACAGCTGACTAACACCCAGGTACCTATTTTACTGCTAGGTAACAGGGGCATATGGTGAAAGAAACTCTGCCCATTGTTTCTCGACGGCGCCCGGGATCGAACCCGGGACCACAGGATCACAAGTCCAGTGTGCTGTCCGCTCGGCCGACCGGCTCCCTTATTGCGAAAGGAGCAGGAGGCCAAATACAAGGTACCAGGCAGGAGAGGAAATCTTTCATGAGTCTAGACGAGAGAAAGATCTCGGGGTTGTTATGATGCCAGACCTGTTCCCCTAAACCTCACATCAAAAGGATAACATCAGCGACGTATGCAAGGCTGGTGAACATAAGAAATGCCTTCAGTAACTTGTGTAAGGAATCATTCTGAATCTTGTATACCTCGTACGTAAGACCAATACTGGAATATGCGGCTCCAGCGTGGTGTCCACATTGAGTCAAACACAAAACGAAGTTAGACAAGGTTCAGAGGTATGCCACTAGGCTAGTTCCCGAGCTGAGGGGTATGAGCTGCGAGGAAAGATTACTGGAACTAAACCTCACGACACAAGAAGACAGAAGAGTTAGGGAAGACGTGATTACTACATATAAAATTCCCAGAGGAATTGACAGGGGTAGATAAAGATAAACTGTTTAACACGGGTGGTACGCGAACAAGGGGACACAGGTGGAAATTACGTACCCAAATAAACCACAGGCATATTAGAATGAACGTTTTCAGTATCAGAGGACGGATGGAATGCATTAGGCAGTGATGTGGTGGAGGCTGACTCCATACACAGTTTTAAATGTAGATATGATAGAGCCCAGCAGGCTCAGAAATCTGTACACCAGTTGATTGACAGTGGAGAGGCGGGACCAAAGAGCCAAAGCCCAACCCCCGCAAGCACAACTAGGTGAGTACACAGACTCTAATGTGCAGAAAATCCCAGATTCAAGACAAACTTACATAGAATTAAAACAAAAATGTCTTTGTTTCGTATCTTTGACTCCAAAAAAACGCGTATTTATAACTTAATTCCGTTTCAGAATTTTAGTATTATTTTAGTTCGTCTTTTTATCTGTAAAACCAAAATTTAAATAACAGGAATCAATAATTCAATTAATCAATAATCTCAGAGTTGACAGGTGTAAACAGGTAATAATTACGTCAAGGATGATGGTGATTGTCAAACAGTAACACTTATAGGGATTATTTCTATAATTTTTATAATTCATTGTGTTGGGGGACAGGCAGCCAGAGTGTATTGTTATGACCCCATGTGGCCTGGGTGGAACGAGTCTACCTCATGGAGAGTTATTCTGCCTTCCAGACCTGATTGAGAGGTCAGAGGAAAGATGTATATATTAAATATAAAATAAACGTCAGTGAATAATTTAAAAATATGAGCAGAGGATGAGCATTTAAATAAGTGACATGATATGAGATGTCGATATTTTGGTAGCATGAAGTGATGCTAGCCGGACGTCGTGTCCTAACTTGAGCTTCAGCAGCCGTCAGAGATGGTTGTACTGTGTTGATCTCCTGGAAGGAGGGAGAATATAGTTCCCTGTGTTAGTGGTGGAGCGAAGGCTGATTGTTTGCAAGTGTGAGGAAGCTGTTGGGGGACTTAGTGCACCATTTCTCGGTGATTTCGATAATTAGAGGCGGCCTGGAAGTGTGTTTGGTCGCACCTTTGTGGAACTCTAATTGTGTTGCTTCTTCAAGAGGAAGGAAGCAAGCAGGCGTTTCTGTTGTGGAGCCTACCGGGCGACTCCATGTACTCAAGTCAGGAGCAGAAGAGCTGTGAGGCAGTCTTAAAGAAACTTTGTTGGACGTCTTAGATGATGCCATCTTAGAAGACCGGAGTTGAACGCCCTCGAACTACAAATTCTGCAGTAAGCTCATGTAGCAGTTGTTATAGTGGTTGCCTGTGCATGAGCGTGTGCCCAGCGATCATGCCAACTGTTTAAGCATGTAATATATACATTTTTATGGAGCCAGTTAGCAAATATAAGGAGTTAGAATTGAGAGAATATGCTGGAGGGAGGAGTGGTACATCCTTCCTCGCCGAAGGTCAAGTGCTGACTGAGGGGCGGAGGCCCCCATCCGCGACCCGGGTGGCGGCTAGCGACGTGTCAAGACATGTTCCCAGTGTGGACTCGTCCAGGATGGGGGAGGACCATTGCAGCGACACATTAGTGTTTAAAGAGATGTCAGATGGAGTTTTATTTTCTGTGCATACATTTAATTAGGTTTTGCTGGGAAGACATTGATTATGGCATGATGATGGATTTGCAGGTTTGTGTAGGAGAACTGCAACGTTTGTGTGGGAGAACTGCAACGTTTGTGTGGGAGAACGGCAACGTTTGTGTGGGAGAACTGCAACGTTTGTGTGGGAGAACTGCAACGTTTGTGTGGGAGAACTGCAACGTTTGTGTAGGAGAACTGCAACGTTTGTGTAGGAGAACAGCAACGTTTGTGTAGGAGAACTGCAACGTTTGTGTAGGAGAACTGCAACGTTTGTGTGGGAGAACTGCAACGTTTGTGTGGGAGAACTGCAACGTTTGTGTAGGAGAACTGCAACGTTTGTGTGGGAGAACTGCAACGTTTGTGTTGGAGAACTGCAATGTTTGTGTTGGAGAACTGCAATGTTTGTGTGGGAGAACTGCAATGTTTGTGTGGGAGAAGTTAGTGAGAGAACTTCGTACCGAAGGAGTAGGAGGAGTATAAGCTGAACTGCCAGGTGCTCCAGGACTTCGAGTTGAGTAGTGGAACTCCAGCAACAAAGTGAAACTTCAAGGAGTGTAGGGAGCTACACGTATCTTGAGTGAAGCCGGTGGAGGAGCTTCACTGACATTCAAGGAGGACTTCAAGTGCATCTGATTGGAGGAACTACAGGAGTACCTTACGTGATATTCTGAGGACCCAGATTGATGACTGTACTAAGGGGACCTCGAGTAATGGAACAGAGGGTCTTATGGACACGTTGATGTTTAAGGGAGTGCTTGATTGTGTTTTGGCCTGAAAGGCGCAGTGCAAGGGGAGAGAATAATGCTTTTTGTAGAGTATGAAATACGTGAATATTTTATGTGCCATGTATTACAGCCTAAAAAAAAAAGTGAAGGGAGCAGTATCAAGCAGCAGCCTGATACAGTTATAGGTTGGAGACATAAGGCGATATTGGAGTGTTATCAGTTGGGAGCAGCCTAAGGGGTTGTATTGTCTTATACACAATATACATACGGGAATAGTTATGTTCTTATGTATTAAATGTTATATTTTTTAGCTGCCTTTCGCTCTTGTCCTAATGAGGCTTCCTGGCTAGAAAAAGAGAAAGACACGGCTATAACTTAGGTGATAGTGGACTATAACTTAGGTGATAGTGGACTATAACTTAGGTGATAGTGGGCTATAACTAAGGGTGATTGAGAGGCCATCCCACAGTAAAGAGAGCGCAGGGAGTCACGGCGGCTCAAGAGCGCTGAACCCCTCTCCCAGAACCAGACGCTTACTAGGGTGATCTCCCAAATATTTACAAGCCCTCCAGTGTCCATTGGAGGTCGACTGACGGCAGCAGCAGAGTGGTTGCCGAGGTCGACTGTTTGTTCTGTCAGGGAGTGGTTGGGGGGTCTCTGTTCGACAGTAAGCTAGTATCAAAAAAAAAATCAGTTTGGTTCAAATAACCAGGTTTATTGTATAACCCCCCCCCCCAACACCTTCCCCACCACTTGGGCTGGACGGTAGAGCGACGGTCTCGCTTCATGCAGGTCGGCGTTCAATCCCCTATCGTCCAAGTGGCTTGACACTATTCCTTCCCCCGTCCTATCCCAATTCCTTACCCTGACCCCTTCCAAGTGCTATATAGTCGTAATGGCTTGGCGCTTTATCCTCATAGTTCCCATCCCTTCCCCCCCCCTGAGAGTATTCATACATGTTGGGCTTAATTCGAGGTCCCTTCCCCCCCCCCCCCACAAGGTCGAATTACTGAACCTGCCTAGGATCCAACCCCACAATAAGCTGATTAACTTCTGAGTACGTACTTAATGCTAGGTGAACAGATGCATTAGGTAATAGGAAACGAGTCCGAACATTTCTGTCCCGCCAGGGAATTGAACCCGGAATTATCGATTATGCGTCCAGAACGAACCCGACTGTACCACCGGCACCCTAAATTATTTTGCATAACACTTTTCACTTGGTGGAACAAAGTTATTCATAGATTGTGTTCAGTTATTCACTGAGCCTTTCTTGCGTAAACGTTATTATACTATCAATTATTGTTCAATATATTAAATACATTGACCGTCTACTTTATAAATTTATAAAAAAATTTTTTAGAATATATATACAAGAGTTCTTACATTTTTGTAAAGTCACTAGTACGTGTAGCGTTTCTGGCAAGTCCTTAATCCTATGTTCCTTGGAATACGACCCCCACCAAGAATCATTTTAACAACCAAATACCCATTTTACTGTTGAGTTATGGGGGCATATCGGCGTAAAATTAAAAGTGGTTCAATTTGCTTATAATTTTTTTATGAAATGGTTATAGAATGGGCTGCAGCTGGTCCAAGTTTCATTATCACACCCTAAACAGAAAAGCAGAAAAAAAATAAACAACGAATTATGCAACGAATTTTCAAATACTTTCAGGGAACACATGTGTCAACTAAAATCATTTCTATAACACTCAGATATTAAATTAAGCACATAATAAAGGATTCTAGTGATCAGTTTTATCAAAAAAGTGTTTAGTGCAATAATATAATTTTTCAAAGTTACCCTACTAAAAAAATATGCAATATATGATATTTTTAAATTTTTATAAAATCAAGAAATAGACTTTGGACTAAAATGTCTACTAGAGTCTGTAGAAGCAGAAACGCTACATATAAGGTGTAATTTGCATGTAAATTGATTAATAAATGAAAGCTCTGAAGTAATTTGAAGGTGTAAATTACTTTCCAGAGTAAAATAAAGATCCAAGTTCGGCCACCTGTAGCTGAGCTTGACTTCGACAGATTTCGTTCATAATTGGCACCCTTGCAGATAGGCATCCATTGAGCAAGGTGTGCAAGTTTCATGCAAATCCCTTGATAACAAACGAGAAAAAAAATTGGCCAAAAAAAAAAAAAAAAAAAATAAAAAGAAAAAGAAAAAAAAAATTAAATATAAATATATTGAACATACATATTACAATTATTACAAGAGTTTGTGCTTCTACAGCACATAGTTGACATTTTAGTTGGCACATGTGTTCCCTGAGATTATTTGAGAATGTTGAACATTCGTTGCATAATACGTTGTGTATTTTTTTTCTCCTTTTCTGTTTAGGGTGTGATGGTGAAACTTGGACAAGTTGCAGCCCTTACTATAACCATTTCACAAAAAAAATTTATAAGCAAATTGAACAATTTTAATTTATAACGATATTTTTCGATATGCCCCCTTAAACAGAGGCTACAGTTAAGGATTTGCGCCCAGTAAATCCTCCCCGGCCAGGATACGAACCCAGGACAGAGCGCTCATATGATTACTCTTTACTTCGCTCATATAATTATACTCTGAACTTCGGTTTCAACTCTTTTGACCATGTCGTAGCTCAGTCGATTAAGAGAGCGTCTGGAATGCTCCCGGACGTAGGTTCGAATCCTCGTCACGGCCCTTGTGGATTTGTTCATTTGATGCTTCACGCTATTGTGATTTCTGTGTGTAATAATTACTTTGTTCAGAATAACTACATTGAGTGGGATTGAGTTTAAAGTCTTTTACAGACTGTTAACCATAATCCAAATTGTTCAGCATTAACATTTTTTGCTGTATTTTTTTCCAAAATAAGTCTTACTGCTCTAATTCTAAGCTGTAAGTTCTTTTACAATTTTAAACCAGTTTCTTGATGCCACAAATTAAAGATATGTTTAAATTAACTCACTTATATTACTAAATTTTGTGTAAAAGTGATATTGTGAACGCGTTCGTCATTACAAAAAAAAACACATTGAAATTACAACCCGGAAAAAAAAGTTATATAATCTTACATTCACCAATTAAAAAAAAAACAATTAATTTACTAAGAAAGATGGTGAAGTAAGATGGAATCTTATTCAGCTCCTCTGCCAGTCCCAAATACCCTGATCTATTTCCCCTTCGGCGAATAGCTATCAGCGCCAGGGGTTCCTGTCGGCAGCCTCTACACATCTGGGAAAACGACGGAATCCCTTCACTCCTCTGTCCTTGATGGCGCGGAAGGAATCCAATCTCCCTCTTGTGTAGTCGGAAACAGCTGCTTTGTAAGCTGAAAATGCAGTGAATTTCTCGGTCGGTAGTTCCCGGGGCTGACACTATAGGTGGGTGTTACGGAGAGGGGGGGGAGGAGGGGGGGGGGGAGGAGGGGGGGGGGAACAGGGGAGGAAGATTCCCGGATGTGCCAACACCAAGCAAGGCAATTTCCCCCCGCGGGGTGGTTCAGCTGTTAAGCAGAGGGGAGGGGATAATGTTCCTGTGCGAGAGATAACCTGGCTATTGTATAACACTTTTAGTCACAAGACACTTCCCGCTTCGATAGAATTACGAAGAGGGATGAAACGCGGGGAACCCAAGACCGGAACCCAAAGATGCCAACGTTGACACACTGCTCACAACGCCACGCCCACTACACCAGATTAATGTTAATATGTGCTTCCTCCCTTCTGTCAACTTTATTTATCCCCATTTACATCACCCATTTATGCCCTATTCTTCCACCCCCTTATTCCGTACTCCTCACCTATTGGGTAAATATATGACACGTAGAGAAGTTTATGTGTCGGAGTAAGAATATCACTGAATATGATATGTGACATTTGCTTGTA